CCCCAAAACCCCCAAAACCCCAAAACCCCAAAACCCCTTAAATAAATATATAAGTTGAAATAAAGTAAAATGTTTCTTAGCCAGCACCGAAGAACTTCTAGCGGAAGTCCCCTTAATAGTAGAATTTCTCAGAATAGCTTATCTAAAGACTACAGCATGGCATTTGAGAGGTCGAGACTCCTTGCTCAAATGAACTGCTTCACCAACACAAAATTTGAGAAATTCAAAACTAATAAAATCGTTAATTACGGCCTAAGGCCCGTTCAGACTCCAAAACTTAGTATGTTGTAAGTGATCTGTGAAGATAGCTATTTTAGGACTATTGAATGATGAAAAGTGTCTCTCTAGTTAATTTTGATTAATATTTTTAAATTCCATAAATTACTAAAAACATAGGGATACTACCAGAAAGAAAAGTTTTAACCGTAATCCAATAAGCATGGGTGCCCAGAAGGATAATCTTGGACTCAGAGCACCAAGAAGGATGAACTTACGCAATCCAAAAATTCAAAAATTAGTCAAGTATGGGGTTAGGATTTTATGCTTCATTTGTTCCAGATTTTTTGCTCTAATTCAACAAAACCTTAGCTGTTCTTGAGGTTAGGCTGTTGAATTAAATGCAACTAACCAAATATAGAATGAAATAACATGAAATTTGCCTCATCAAGGCCTCAAAGAGATGCAGAACCTATAAACTTGAGTAATTATAAGAGAGGGTTATCAAATATTTCTGGGCTGACTGCAACGAGACCCTCGACTGGTTGGAAAGATCTGAGCTCTATCTCCTTGAGGCCTACAACAAGACTATCTAATTCTCCAAAGTAAGATTTGTAAATATTAAACCCTAATAGTTTGCATTTCTCATCCCTGAAAGCTAGTCCAACCTACGAAACGTACAAAATACAAACATCAGAACGGAAGTCAGCTAGGAATGGTAAGATTGCCCTCTGATCTCTACAGAACACGAAGTGCAGCCATTCATCAAGAACGAAGGAATGATCTGTATCCATGAGCGGCACAAGAGCCTGTCTACAACCCAGATGTTCATCAAGTCCATCCAGAGTAATATAGAGAAATTAAAACGCACGAGAGATTTCTGGAAACCTGCAGTAAAAGAATCTAAAAACTCCTCAAAAAGGTAGCTAAAGTATTCATTTTAGGCGCCAAAGTAGCCTCAAATAAGGCTCGAAAGCGTGTTGGTAGGATCTACACAGACGAAGAGGTGCTCAACCTACCTTTCAATGAGATGAGGATGCGCCTGGAAGGCGACATCCTAAAAAGACACTTTAAAAGCTGGGATGATTCTGTAATTCGCTGCATAATTTTAGAATGCAGTAAAAATCCAAAAAGTGTTCAGGGGATATATGATGCGCAAATATTACTTCAAGCGGGTAAGCTGTTAAGCAAATTACCATAGCAACAAGAAAAACTTATCAGAGAGTTCTGTGAGAGAAGAAGTGTCAAGATTATCCAACGAGAATGGAAAATCTTCTCCTTCCAACTCCAGATGAAGAGGGATGCGATTGAGAGGCGTAATGTACAGATCACCAAAATTCAAAAGTTCATGCGAGGATTTAGGTAAGACTCGGTGGTCATTATTAGTGTCTGGAATGCCCTTGGTGCACAAAGAACCATGGCAATAATGGCAGCTCTTCAGAAATCACTTCATTCCATCTCTGCTAAAAATAGGTCTGTTATTATTATTCAGAGAAGGTTCAGGAAATATATGAAAAATGTATTAGATTATTTATTTTGATTACCTAGGTTCAAGAAAAGAGGAGATTAGCACTTTTAGAGAAACAAAGACTTGAGCAAAAGTTAGCAGCCCTCAAAAAGTCAAAACCAGAGGCCAGATACAAGATAGTCAACCGAGGAGGTGTAATTGTTCGGGTAGACATCGACCAAGAACGCAAAAAGTACTTTTATATTACTCATTGATAGACTTTTAAAAGTAAAGGAGAAGTTCAAGCCAAGTTCAAAGAAATCTAAGAAAAAGAATCATTTATAATTTAAATTATACTGATCATATTTTGTCCATAATCCTTCGGTCCTAATTTCGAACCTTAAGCTTCTTTGAGGGTCTATTATCTTGAAATCTCGTTCTTTTCTGTTGCTAGATTTTCAGTTAAGTACTTAAAAACTGATATCTTGAGCATTAAAACTCTGAAATTAAACTTTAGCGCATTAAGGAAGCATGACTTATACAATAGTTTATTAGCAATGCCCATATTGGCACCTCTGAGGCTTGATTTGTACACTCAGTAAGTCTTGAGAAATAGCTTTCAGCCATTATTTATTAATAGACTGGTCATATAATTAGTCAAGTTCAAAGTCATCAATGAAAGCAGGGGTTTTGGGGTTTTGGGGTTTTGGGGG